AACCAAGGTACATGCCCTTGACTGGAATTGAACCCAGGACCTTTTAGTCTGCAGGCTGACGCTCTATCCACTGAGCCACACCGGTTTCGGCTGAACTCATGTATTTTGATACGTCTTTTATTTTTAGAGAATGCTTTAGAGATGAGAATGTCTCCATATAGATGAAAACTAAATTTATTCAACACTCTAGTTAGAATTACATGAGTAAATTATAAGTTAAAGATTACTTTCTTACATATAGTCAGTTTCTTGGACAGCAAGAATATTGTTCAGATCTGTGTGTGTGTGTGTGTGTGTGTGTGTGTGTGTGTGTTTGTTTTGGTTTTTTTTGGCTCATGGAGACTTGGATTTTAGAGAAGAAAAAAAAAGAACCACCAGATGGTACCAGCCATTCTCTGATCCAGGGAGAAGAAATACAAACCCAGCTACCTGTTTCCATCTGGATACCCTTAACAACTGGGGATTCCTGAAGGCATCAGCCATCGGCCTCAGATTTCACACTAAGTACATTGAAAATCCTTGAGCTTTAAATCCTCATGTCAGAGCTCAGTCTCTGACTTGTGATTTGTCATGCTACACTCCTAGCCGGTAGCGCTTTTGTGTTTACAAAGAAAAAGTGTGCCCGTAGTGATTAGCTGTTGCTTTTTGGGCGCTCATTTCATTAAATAGGAGTGTTTCAATAAGTACCCACCTGCAGGGTGGAAAAATGTGGCTCAGGAAATCGTTGTCTTAAAACCAGTGTAAACAGATGTGCTTGGTGTTCAGAAGGCTGCTGCTGCTCTGTGTGACCTGCACGGAGGACAAATGAGTGTTTTCTTCCCTCGGAGCAAAGAAAGTGCCAGAGGATACAAACCCCAGATACTTGCCCTTGTGGATCCACCCTTCCTTTCCCAAATACCCTGTGAGATGCTTCCTCAGGGGGGCAGTGTGGTGCAGTGGCTAGGACCTTGGCTTGGAATCCTAGCTCCGCATTTCCTAGCTGCCTTTAGTGAAGTTGCTTAACCTCTCAGGCCTGCAGTTATCCCATCTGTTGTGGGGATCATAACAGAACCTGCTTCAGGGTTGTGATGAGGCCAAAAGCATGGCTCACGTGTTTTTACAGAATAAATGCTCAGAACATGTTGGTGACCATGAATGTTGGTATTGTAAGCCAGTGACCACGTAGGGTTAATATAAGGAACCGCAGCCCCCATCCCAGGTTGGCTGTCCTAGGTGCCATTGGAGGTAGAGCATCATTTAGCTCTGAAAACCTGGAGGACCCAGACCATGCCCCCAGCTTGGCCAGGGAGGGAATGGTGCTGTGAGGCTTAAGCAGCTTGTGAAGCAGGCTGCACAGGCTGTCATTCTTGCTGTAGATTATCCATGTTGTCAAGTCTAGGGTGGAATGTCCCTGTTCAGCTGTTACTCATGAGACCATGTCACATCATGGCTTACACACCAGAATGACCCTCATTTCAGGCAGCCTTTGGTCCACTGTAGAGATTCCATGAGCCCCTTGAAAACAGCACTTTATTTATATCACCTGCTGCTGCTTTTGGGCGCTCATTAAGTGGGAGTGGAGCCTCCTGTCAGTGTCAGGGTGGGGCTGGCGGTGCTGCATGTGCAGCTGCCCAATTTCTGTTCCTTTGCTGTGTGCGCCCTCCATTTCCATGGGTTCTCTACTGCCCGGCATGGTGCCAGGGTGGCGTTTTTTACTGCAATTTACTATTGTAGCTCTGATCCCCACATTTTGTGAAAGAAACAATTAAGCTTTTTATGCCTACAAAAGGGTCTGTTAGGCTTCGCAGGTAACTGACTGCTAGGCCACAGTAAGATATCAGAGGCATCATGAATGGCATTGGAAGGAAAACAGCAAAGCTTACCTTTTGTAAATGACTGGAACTTCTAAAATTGGGGTGGTTAGTGTGGCACCACCTGCAGTTCAAACGTAGAGAAGGTCTAGACAGGTATGTGGGACCGGTGAGGGCGAAAAGCTCAGAGCTGCCATGTGAGAGTGAAGTTGGTGTCTGGCGACACAACAAGGACATGGCCCCTGTGCCATTGTGAGTGGTGTGGTGAGCATGTTGAGGTGTTGGGACATGGAGCTGTTGTGAGTGGTGTGGCTGAGCATGTTGAGGTGTTGGGACATGGAGCTGTTGTGAGTGGTGTGGCTGAGCATGTTGAGGTGTTGGGACATGGAGCTGTTGTGAGTGGTGTGGCTGAGCATGTTGAGGTGTTGGGACTGTGTGTTGAGTGGTGTGGCCTAGCATGTTGAGGTGTTGGGACTGTGTGTTGTGAGTGGTGTGGTGTGCATGCTGAGGTGTTGGGACTCCTTTAGACACTTAAATTAGTTAATTTAAGGTCTGATGCATTAGGTGGTGATAACACTAACAGGTGACATTTATTGAGAGCCTACTCTGTGCCAGACGTCATGCCAAAATTAAATATAAATTACCTCGCCGAGACCGGTTTGGCTCAATGGATAGAGCGTCGGCTTGGGGACTGAAAGGTCCCGGGTTCGATTCCGGTCAAGGGCATGTACCTTGGTTGCGGGCATATCCCCAGTAGGGGGTGTGCAAGAGGCAGCAAATCGATGACTCTCTCTCATCGATGTTTCTAACTCTCTATCTCTCTCCCTTCCTCTCTGTGCAAAATCAATAAAATATATATTAAAAAAAAAAAAAAATAAAATAAATATAAATTACCTCATGTGATCTGGCGAGGTAGGCCTTATTACTCCAGTTTTATAGATACAGATGGTGACTCTCAGCAAGGTTAATCATCTTCCCAAGGATTTCCATTGGCTGATGTCTCCTTAACTGTGAAATCTGAAGAAAGAGAGTGCTCATGGCCCCTGGCGTGCCCTGTAGATGGCCAGTGATCAGCATCACCTCATTCAGAATTTGATTTCCATGCGTTTAGAATGGGCTGTGATCTGCTCTGGGACGCACGCTGTCAGATAAGACCCAGGTTTTATGTGTGTGACCTGGGTTTTCACTCACGTTCCAAGCTGCACTTGGAGAACTGCTGCCTTTGACCGCTGGTCCCCAGAATGTGTCCCTCAGGAGGGTTCAGTAGCACCGCGAGAGGAGAAACTTGGGGTGTGCAGAGCTGCCTGAAGGTCACAGAGCTCCTCTGCACGGTGTTCTTTAGGAAGCTGCAGAGCTTGTCAAAACATTTGGCCCAAACTCTCTTACAGAGCACCTCTGAGACCAGGATTGCAAACACATGAAAAATGTGAGCTTTACATCCCCCTACTTCCATTGTGTTTTGGTTGCTTTAATATGAAAAACATTCCATGGGGTGAAGACATCAGGACCCCGCTAAGAGCTGGAGCACAGGGACCCCTGGAAACGGGCTGTGTGGAAAGGAGGGGGTAAAATGCAGGGGACTGGGTCTGATTCTGGCTGTAGAGGTGCCTGGCTGGGACGGTATATTGGTCATCTACTACTGGGTAACAGAGGGCCCCACATCTGTCAGCTCACAACGGTACACGTTGTGTATTGCATGGTTTCTGAGGGTCAGTAATGTGAGCAGGGCTTCCCTTGGTGCCTTGGCCCAGGGTTTCTGATGGGATTGGGAGCACACTGTGCACTGGGGCTGCAGTGTGAGCCGAGGCTCGACTGTGGGCTGGGGACTCCCCTTCCAAGACCCCTCTCCTGGTTGGCATGCCTTGGCCCCTCACCACGTGGACCTCGCAGCACAGCGGCTGCACAATGTGGCACCTGGCTTCGCCCGGGAGGATGGGTCGGGGAGCGGGAGGGGGAGACGGTCTTTTTGTGACGGACCACGGGAGTGAGAGGAGCGCGGAGATCTCTTGATAGGGAGACACACTTCCGTTTCATTTGTGGTTAGGAGACAGGGAACAGTGGGACCAAATGCTACCATCCCTCACTGTGAGCGTCACATTCCCGATCCCTAGGTTCTCAGAGACAGTAAGGAATGGATGGAAATCAGTCAGGAACAGTGGGCCCCATGATTTGCCCCTGGGAACCCTATGGGCTCTGAAGTTTGCTGGAAGGTAGGAATTACAGAGAGCATTTTACTGTAGTCCCAAGTATTTCTTTCAGCAGGAAACATTATTAGGTTAAAACTACACATCTGTAAAGTTCAAGGGAGACAGAACTAAGGAAAAGAAGAGAGAACAGCTGTGCATTTGTGTGCTTAATGAAACAACCATTGCTACCACCTCCCTTACTAGAGTGTGAATTAGGGTGTTGCAAAAAGGCAGCCTTGTTTACTTGCTATCTCTTCAGACCCTGGAGGGAAACCAACACTCCTCCCTGCTCTCCAGAAACTGCCCCCTAGCTCAGGGCTGTGGCATCTGTTTGGATGTTGGCGAGAAAGGGCAGTAACATTTGATTGAGGCCAGTCATTTCCACGGAGGGAGGTCTGGAGCAGGAAGTGGGAAGGTGGAATGATAAAAATGCTCACACTGATATGAAGCTATTTAGTTTTTTAAATATTGCATTACTGGGATTGGCTTCCCTTGTGACTGTATTATCAAAATCGATGGTGATCCTGGATTTGAAATGAACCCCTGATGTCCCTCATGCTTGTTTCAGCCCAGTGGTAATATGGGTCATTTGTTCTTCAAATGTGAGGACTCCCCTCCCTCATCCCCGGGCATTTTGTGAAATGACATTGCAGGTGCGTGGCCGTGGAGACATCCAGGAGCCCTGTCCTCCTCTGAGGGTGTGTCTCTCCTCCTCTCCCTGTCGCAGCTTGTGCCCCGAGTTGCCTCCTTTCACATTTTTGAGAAAATTCTGATGCTGCTAAATGCCTTACAGTACAGAGCTAAGCCACCAACTTAGAGAATTATTCAGCTCGAAATGTCAATAGGTTGAGTTTGAGAAACCCTGGGACAGGTGAGATTTGGGATGACACCCCCAAGGCATCTGATAATAAAATCAAAGAGGACGATAGATGAGCTCAGTAGACCCACAGAAAGTAGGAAGCTGACAAAAACCTGCCTGTGTTGGATAAGAAGGAACGGCAGAGGTGAGTTACTTGGGTTATATGTTCAGACGTGGTGGTTACAGCACAGGGAAAGCGCTCACGGTCCCGGGGAAGCAGGCACCTGCTGGAGTCTGGCTGTCCCCGGGGAGTGGCTGTGTGTCTGATAAGGCAGAGGACAGCGGCACCTGCTGGCTGCAGTAGTGCCTTTGGTGAGCTGGAGGGATCGGTGACGTGTGACATTGCAGGTGCTTGGCCAGGGAGGAATCCAGGAGCCCTGTCCTCTGAGGGTGTGTCTCTCCCCCTCTCCCTGTTGCAGCTTGTGCCCCGCGTTGCCTTCAGGGCAGCTACATTGGGTGTTGACCTGCAGGCTGTCCGCTGCTGCAGGGACAGCAGACCAGGCCCAGCATGGAGTGCAGGCCCGGGAGGCACACACCACCCTTGAAACTACACTTTGCCTGGGACTCTTTCTAGCAGGAGTGGCTCCATGGAGTACGTCATCATAGAGCTTCCAAGGGAGCGTGCCTCATCTGTCTTTGCCCTGCATACCCCCGTCTGTGTCCTGTCTTTGCCCCCCCTGTGCCCCAGCCAGGGGTGCTGAACTTCTGTGTGTTTTGAGATCCCGTAGAAACCGGCAGAACTGCAGGCGCCCCACACTGAGCAGCTGAATGAGGTCAGTGTCCTTATGTCTGTCAGCCTGTCCCTGAGTGGGGCTGATTCACGGAGTAGAGTTTACAGACTTTCCAATTAAACATCATCTTTGTTGGGCTGTGCTGCCATGTGCCGCATCCTTTTACCCCTTGCTCGAGACCAGGCATGCCTCCCTCCTATCAGGTCACAGACCCCACTCCAGGCATATGGAACTCGGTGACCACAGAAGTATAGTGAATATTGGTGACAAGGCAGAGCCACCAAATCAAAGAATATGTCACCCCTCTGTTCATAGCAGCATTATTATAATAGATGAGAGGCCCGATGCACAGATTTGTGTACCAGTGGGGCCCCTTGGCCTGGCCTGCACCTTCTTGCAATCTGGAACCCTTGGGGATGTCGGACTGCCGGTTTTGGCCTGATCCCCACAGGCCAGGCGAGGGACCCCACTTGTACAAGAATCCATGAAATAGGCCTCTGGTATGCATATAAGATCTTTGGTTAATCTCTTCCCACCCTCCTCTCTTCCCTCTGAGATTCATCAGTCTGTTCCATGTTTCTATGTCTGTGCATTGAGCATCTGCCCCCTGGTGGTCAGTGTGTGTCTTAGCTCTACTGGTCGAACAGTGGCTTAGGCTTTTACACACACACACACACACACACACACACACACACACACACACACACACTATGGGCCCAGTGCACGAATTTGTGAACCTTGAAAGAAACTGTGGGCTGTGAGGCTGTGGTGTCAGAGGGGCAGGTCTCGGCCCATCCTCCTTGCCCCTGTCCAGCTCCTCCTGCTGCAGCCCCCGGCCCCGTCTGCCAGCAGCCCAGCTCCTGCAGCCCCTGTCAGGGGTGCTGAACCTCTTTGTGTTTTGAGAGCCCACCTTGAGTTGGGCCAGCACCATCAGTGGGTGCGAGCAGTGGCTGCTGCCCCGATCACCCCCCAGGAGCAAGAGGAGGAAGAGAAGCTCTCAGGGCTGATCGGGGCCAGCAGCTGCAGCTTGCACCTGTTGAAGGTGCCAAGCAATCATGGCTGGTACCAGGCTCTGGCAGTGGGTGTGAGCAGAGGCTCTGGCACCAGCTGTGGGTGCATGTAGGGCCAGCACCAGCAGCAGGTGCAAGTGTCCAATGGGACCGTGACATGCAAGAGCAAAGAATTTTCAGTAACTACCAGAGGCTTGCCCCCATGACAGCGGCTGGCACATGCCTTGATCTGGCACCCCCACTCACCTGCTCCATTATCCTGCTGTGGCTGATGCTTGTCATGTTCCGCGCTCTGCTGCCTGCTGCTGATACCTGCCAACTTCCACGCATGTCCCCTGGTGGTCAGCACATGTCATAGCAACTGGTTGTTCGGTTGTTCCACCATTCAGTCTATTAGGGTTTTATACACACACACACACACACACACACACACACACACACACACTAGAGGCCTGGTGCACAAATTCGTACACGGGTTGGGTCCCTAGTCCTGGATGGTGATCAGGGCCGATAGGGGCCATCTTGCCAAGTCCTGATCAGGGCCTGCTGGACAGTAGGGGTGAACAGGGGGAGGGACAATGGGAGGTTGGCTGACCAGCCCCAACTGGGCAATCAGGTCGGCAGGCCAGGGAAGGGATTAGCCAGGGAGAAGGACTGTGGGAGGTTGGACGGCTGGGGGACCACAAGAGGTTGGCCAGCTGTGGAGAGGAACTGGAGGAGATTGGCTGGCCGTAGGAGGTTGGCTGTGAGAGTGCACTGACCACCATTGGGCAGCTCCTGCGTTGAGCATCTGTTCTTCCTGCCTGTCATGACAACTGGTTGATTGGTTGTTCCAGTCATTCTGGTTTTTTGGTTGTAATGGCTGCTTATGCTTTTATATCAATAGATAGATTAGATGTGGAAATAGCCCAAGTGCCCATCATTAGACGAGTGGGTAAAGAAGCTGTGGTACATTTATACAATGGAATATTAAAAAGAAGAATCTCTTACCCTTGAGACCTGGAGACTGTTATGCTATTATGCTAGACAAAATAAGCTAATAAGAGAAAGACAAGTATCACATGATCTCACTTATATGTGGAATCTGATGAACAATAAACTGACGAACACAGTAGGTTCAGGGGCATGGATGCATGGAACAGAATGACAGATCTCAGAGGGCATGGGAAGAAGTTAACATATATATATATGCATGACCCATGGACCCAGACAATAAAGTGGTGAAGGCCTGGGGTGAGGCTGGTACTGGTCAAAGGCGGGCAAAGACAGGGAAAATGGCATACATCTGTGACACTGTCAACAACCACAAAATAGTAATTCTAGCACTCATCAATAATGTGTGTGTGTTTTTACCATTTTGGTGCAGATTTTTCAAGGTGTGTGTGTGTGTGTGTGTGTGTGTGTGTGTGAATTACTAAAACACAATCATATATATGAAATACTTTTATGCATATACTAGAGGCCTGGTGCACGAAATTCATGCATGGGGGGAGGGTGTGTGTGTCCCTCAGCCCAACCTGCACCCTCTCCAATCTGGGATCCCTCTCACAATCTAGGATAGGGGTGTCGAACTCAATCAGAGAAGGGGCCAAAATCTAAAATCCAGCCTAAATCGCGGGCCGAATGGTTTACTGAACAGTCATAAACTGTCATTGTGATGGAAACGCAGCGGAGTGCAGTGATGACAGCACGGTGCGAGCCACATTGCAAAGCCTGGCGGGACGGATTTGGCCCTCGGGCCTTGTGTTTGACACATGTGATCTAGGACTTCTGGCTTTCAATCGCTCACCTGCTTGCCTGATTGCCCCTAACTGCTTCTGCCTGCCAGCCTGATAACCTTCTAACCACTCTACTGCCAGCTTGATCGACACCTAACTGACTCCCTGCCAGCCCAATTGCCCCTAACTGTTCCTCTATATATTAGAGGCCTGGTCCTCCCCCCCTCACCCCTACAACTGCCCTCCTCTGCTGGCCCGGTCACCCCTAACTGCCCTCCCCTGCAGGCCTAGTCCCTCCCAACTGCTCTCCCCTGCTGTCCTGATTGCCCACAGCTGCCCTCCCCTGCTGGCCATCTTGTGGCGGCCATCTTGCCTGTTGGAGTGATGGTCAATTTGCATATTACCTCTTTATTATATATAATTTAAAAATTATATGTAATTTTAACTTTAAAATACAGTAGACATCTTGTATTGATAAATACATAGTTCTATATTACCTTTCACAGTGTTTCAGAATTTCATTGGGTTAATGTGCCATAATTTCTTTCTTAACAGTTCATTTTTGATGGACATTTAGCTTTAGTAGTGTGCTGATAAGTATTTAACAACTGGTTTTCCGGGTATAAAAGAGCCCTGATGTGCGGCTATCTGCTTTCCAAGGTGTGACTATATCCAGGAGGCTGACGGCAGGCACTAGTGTGAAGTCACTTAACAGGGAGCTGTGAAGAGTTGTGACTCTGAACCAGGGCACACCAGCATAGGCACCACACGGCTGAGGTTAAAGCTTTAAGCAATTGATTTCAAGGATAGTTCTTCACAAGAAGTGTTGTTTACATATTTAGATGCTTGACAGATTCTAAATGCGATAAGAGAGTCACTCAGCTAGGGCGGGAGGAGGGGAAGGAGTGGGGAGAGCATGCCTGCCATTGTCAGAAATGTTTAATTGATAAGGTGTCAACCTTTTTCTTTTCACTGCTCCTGTTCTCTTAGTCTTTCAAAACTAATGCCGGGCTTCCGTTTTCTAAGATATTCTTTTACAACATCTGGACTCAGTATGCTGTGTAATTTGATTAATGCATTCTGTGTCTGTGCCTTTTGAAGACGTTACTCTGCCCGCAACTTCACACTGGGCTGTCGTGCGTGATACCTGGTGGCCTGGGGTAGGAATGCAGGCCGTTCTTCTCCGGGAGCATCTGAGAACATTGAGTGTCCATTTAATCGTAAGGGATATTTTAATGTCCATGGATGCTTTGGAGTCTGGGAACAGAGGGGTCAGGATGGACAGAAACATGGCATTTTTCAGTAAGCAGGTGTTTCTTGTAACTTTCAAAGAGGTTAAATTATAGATAGGCCAGGAAAAAAAAAAATGGTTCCTAATAGTATTGCCTTTCTGATGAAAAACCCTAAGCTCTAAATGCAATATTAGATGTGTATGGTATTAGGTGACCACTTTCAGGAGGAAATGGAGAGCTGTTATGTTCATTTCTTTGTTCATGAAACTATTAATGGTGGAAACACTTAGGTGGGAGCAGATTTATTTTTGAGGAGAGTGGTCCTTCTGCAGAACCCTTTCAACAATCCATTTGGCTTGTACATGTGGCTTTCTTGGGTCTCTACTACCATTCATTTGTTTTTTAGCATCTCAGAGCCTAGGATTAACCTTGGGCCTCTGGGCCTGCCCGCTCTTGTTTTCCTCCGTCCACGCAGCAGATGCATT